TAAATTTACAATATTGAATAGATTTCATTACATTAATGAAAATACTTAATGTCACAGAATAACTTGATAGTTGATACACTTTGATATATTTTACATGCATATATGCCAAAAAAGACTGATCAATTGCAGTCCTTAACATCAATGGGAAGATTTAAACAACCAGTACGAATGAATTAAACATACTCCATTACACAAACTGGATTCAATAGCTCACTGGATAACGCGATGAAATTTAAAGTGAATGGTACTAGGTTCGAGTCTCGAAGTGAACACCAGCTCTAAGACACAACTATACCCAGCTGACCGGTCCTAAAAAGGACAAAACGTGCGTCTTGAATTCCATTGCTAATCACTTTCTACGTCTGCTTATCGCCATAAATAGTTGTATCACATACATCACATGCACTGAGGCTTAAAGTGTTGAGCGGGTAATAATTATAAAATCGATACTGCGTGTTTGACAACGGGAAAGGAATAATGGGCACAGTAGGTTTACCGGAAGATTTAAAAAATTCAAATTTTGGAAGAGCTATACGTATATATCTCAGTATTTTGATGGAAAAGTAGCATATGAAGGCTTAATAAGCATACCAGTTATTTGAAGTTCAATTTAGATTAATTTATTGGATGAGAATAAAAATCATTTATGAACCTACATGCTATTTAAAGGCCGATAACAGTTAGTAATGAAATCATTCAAATTTGTTTTGGCGCAATGGGAAGCGCATTCGACCACCAATGGAGTTGACTGGCGCTGGTTGGTGAATTAAGCCCGCCCAGATCGATTCGAAGGGAACCGCAAACCAATCCAATCGATAGCATCCACAATGTTCACCTCGTCAATATAGTCGACAGAGGCTCATTCCTTTAAATTTTATCTCCAAATGCCCATATATGGCCGAGGGTGTAGAGAGTCAGCTCTCTTTCTCTAAATGCTTTCACATGGCCACGTACATACAACAAATGCCAGGAAATTCCTACTCACTGCCTTCTCGTGGCGGGGGCGTTGTTTCGGAAGTTGAGAGAACGAAAAGCGAATGTTCGGCGCTTTAACCGGCTTGGTGAATACGGAGGATCTACCTAGGGGAGTTGGGAAACCCTGGTTCCAAACCAATGGTGCACATGGGCTCCAGGATCCTGAGGAAACAAATGGCGTATGAACTCATTGTTGGTCGCCGGCTACCGTGGTACTACATCTAACGCTGCTCCACTGCCTTGCAGATTAGACCTCTATGTCAGAGGCTTGGGGTGTGATGCACCCGAAAAACCACCTGTTCCAATTTGGACATCCGAGCAGTATTTCAGCCCTCACACAAATAGAATGATTTGTTTGGCGCATATGTATTTGGTGAGTCCTTGTACCAACGTTTGTCTAAATAATCAATAAGTTCAGTTATTAAAAATGCAACCAGTAAGAATTCTTTCAGTTAAAGAATTAACTCTCACTGTTATGAAGAAATTAAAATGGCTTCTAATCTGACCTATGTCTGATAACGACTCAATCCACTGTGTTGCACTATATCTAGGTCCCCAACCAGGGAGTCGCGAAGAGGCAACATATGTGGAATTGGCTGGTTGACATTCATAAGGCATGTTCAAGCCATCGAAGTAGGTGTTCCAAGATGGTTACACCATCTGAATTGTCGTTGCTGTGCCCGGACACACTGCAATGCTAACATGTTGCCACTGGATGTCAGAAATCCTTCGGAGACAACGATGATCAAACACAGAGAATCGCTTAACATACTCGACTCTCAGAGAGGCCAAGTTTCACAAGCATAGAGCAAAACTGCTCTCACCGATGCGTTGTAGATCTGGCCTTTCACAGTCAGACTAATATCACGAAGGCGCCAAAGATGGCCTAGATTGGCATAAGCCGCTCTGGCTTTCACTATACGTGCATTGATTTCATCACTCATGCTACGATCAGCACTTATGCAGCTACCTAGATACACCAACTTCTCGAGTTCTATCCGCTCACTACCCAGGGTGAGTGCATGACCTGTGTTCTGTCAGTGTTTTAGAAGTACTTTCACTTCGGAAGTGTAAAGCACATGTCATATCTGCGGACACTGATTGCCAAGTGACTAAGTGCAGATTGCATGGCGTGGATAACGTCTCACAGTAAGACAGTATCATTCACATACTCAAGGTTGAAAAGTCTTTCTCCAGGCAACTGATACACACTACCATTACCTACATCCATCAGAGCTGTTTTCATAACGTCATCGATGGCAAAGTTGCAGAAAAGTTGTGAAACTGCGAAACCGTGTCTAACTCCACTGGTTGAATGAAAAAATGAAGAGGGGTGGTTGTATGCCCTCACTCTGCCTGAGGTGTTTGTATAAAAGACCTTCAAGATGTTAATAAATTTCTGAGGCATACCCTCCTTCAGTAGAATATCCCAGAAGACAGTCCTGTTCAACGAGTGGAAGGCGACCCTAATGTCAAGAAACACCACAATTGCTGGCCTGCAACAAGTGGGATTGTGTCCAAACATTCTACAGATTGTGAATATACAATCAATTCATCCTCAACTGGAACGGGAACCAACCTACTCTTCACAAGTCATTGTTTCCCGGTTTTTGAACAATCTACGAAATATGACGGAAGCCAATAATAGTAGACTTATCGCGTGATAGTTGCTGCAGAAACGAGGTGAACCCTTTTTAAAAATAGGGACAACTACCGGCTAATTACACAACATTAGAACACTCTCTAGCCGCTAGTTATCTATAAACAAGTCAGTTCCTTAACCAGAAGGTCACCATCGTCTTTAAAAGGGGTCGGGAGCAAGTCTTTTGGGTCTAGTGCTTTGTGGTGCTTCAAGAGTAGAAGTTCCTAGCGGAATTTCGCCTCTTTAGGTTGATTAGTCGTAACCGACCACCCAGAGTAGATCAACATACTTCAATGAGTTGTAAGGAGTCTGTAGAAATTCAGAGCTTGTAAGTGAGACGTAACTATAGTCAGTGCTCATCTATACTTTTTGGTGGATTAATAGCCAGCCTTGAGCCTAGCTCGGTTTGATATTTAGTTTTAATAAAAGCTGCACCTATTTCACTGATATCGACCTTTGGGGCAATAGATCTGTTGCCCACTGAAACTTAAGAAAAGATTAGCACAAAGAAGGGCATGGTCAGAGTCCAGGTAACTACTCCGAAAGGAGCGGCAGTCTTGTATACAACTACGCCAAAGGTAGCCGATAACGATGTGATCAATCTAAGTCCAGGTTTGAGATGCAGAGGTAGGAATCCAGGTGGCGCATCGGTGATGACTGTGACAATAGTTAGCGTCAACCAGAAACAAGTTGTAGTCTGCGCAAAGTTGCAGTAAACGGTCATTGTTATCTAACCTGCGATCAACAAGACTCCATTGGCCACCCGAACGACTCTCTTCCGTGCCTAGACTCCTGACCTGTACTATCAGGTCTTCGGGTAGTACTTCAATATCTATCGAACGGACTTAACGGGTGGTCAGACTCATCTTTGATTACATCCGGACTACAGTCTGTTGGAGTGTAAGCGGATATGACGAAAACACATCGTTTCTCACACTGATTTCTTCGAACTTTGATTGAGCTTTCTAATCTAACATCACATAGTCGATTGTTGATATGGATCCAGGCGATTAGTGTTGCCTCAGCTCTAGCGTTTAATGCGACATGAACGCCAGCAAAACCAGGTAAAGATGCCACACAGCCCCCCCCCCCGATAATTGCTCGGGGAACAAGCTTATATAATCGGCGGATGGAGAGCGAGTTTGTAGTACTTCACTAGAGTCTTGAATAAGATTCTCAGATAGACAACAGACGTTGATGTTGCGATTTTTTAGAGACACAGTCAACCCTATCTGTTGTCCGATCTATTTTAGTGTGCGAACGTTGAAAAAGGCCAGTTTGAATGATATACGTGGTTTCAGAAAGACTGATTTAGTATTCGTAGTCGGTAGAAGCATTCAACTCTCGACCAATCAGTAACTTGAGGTCGTTTAAATAGGATAGAGTTTTCACCATAGGCGAGCTGCTGTATAAGTTGAAAGACAGAATACATCAAATGAAAGTAAAATGGAGTAGATAAGTGACGTAGTATAAGAGAAATTGACTCATGATCTCAACAATTCAAATTACTAAAATCTCCACAAAACCCCCCTCTGATATTAATCAACATATGCTCACTAGTGACTGGCTTCAAAATATATATCCTGGAGTTCTAGTGAGAAGCAGTGACCAGTGGAGTTCAACCGGGTCAAATGTGAGATAGCGACTCATTGATGACAATAGTGGATGTGTCGCTCAATTTCGTGGGTTAGTTGAAGTTAGACATTAACACCGTTGGATGCCGGCTCAAGGGTCTAGTGGTTAAGTGCTCGCGCGCGAGACCAGTAGGTCCTGCGCTCGAATGATGCGAGGCGGGATCGTGGATGCGCGCTGCTGAGGGGTCCCACAATAGGACGAAACGGCCGTCCAGTACTTCCAGGTTTTCCATGGTGGTCTAGCTTCAATTGACTCATGAACTCAACAATTGAAAAACGAATATTACCAAATGAATGTGGATATGATTTGTCTGAATGATTGTTGAAGCAAGAGTAATTTTTCCGGTAGTAATTACGATTTGATTATTTAGACACAAACGTTGGTACAAGGACTCACCAAATACATATGCGCCAAACAAATCATTCTATTTGTGTGAGGGCTGAAATACTGCTCGGATGTCCAAATTGGAACAGGTGGTTTTTCGGGTGCATCACACCCCAAGCCTCTGACATAGAGGTCTAATCTGCAAGGCAGTGGAGCAGCGTTAGATGTAGTACCACGGTAGCCGGCGACCAACAATGAGTTCATACGCCATTTGTTTCCTCAGGATCCTGGAGCCCATGTGCACCATTGGTTTGGAACCAGGGTTTCCCAACTCCCCTAGGTAGATCCTCCGTATTCACCAAGCCGGTTAAAGCGCCGAACATTCGCTTTTCGTTCTCTCAACTTCCGAAACAACGCCCCCGCCACGAGAAGGCAGTGAGTAGGAATTTCCTGGCATTTGTTGTATGTACGTGGCCATGTGAAAGCATTTAGAGAAAGAGAGCTGACTCTCTACACCCTCGGCCATACCAGGGCATTTGGGCGCCCTAACTGAACTGCTGTTCCCATTATTATCATCATTAACATTATTCACCTCTCACACTTATTTCTGTTTATTGTTCTTTTTTTGTATTATACGCACTTTATATTCCCTATCTCTGCATAACCTGATTGTTATTTTGTGGCACATATTTATTTGGTGCCCTCTTATTCCAATGTTTATGTGTTCAAACAAATAATAAGACTCTTAGATACCTGCCATACATTATATACCCAGATTTCTTCTTTGGACAGAAAGTGACCAACGTAGTTTGTAAACCCAATCAAGAATTTTAGGTATGCATTATTTATTTGCATATGGTTTATGATTGGTAATCTGATCACGTCATTTGTTAAGTGCTTACATCGAGTCAAAAACCATCAGAAGTGGGACAGTTACCTATTGATAGTGAGCTAAAACGAGAACTACCAACTGAAATTGGTAATGTGAACCATCAAATACTAGCTCATTAATCCAAAAGAAACACACACCACTTGAGGCTAACAGAACTTGAGTCTGATCCTTGAAAAGTTTGTAGGTGTGTACTGTTGAGTTATAAACTCAGTCAGTCATAAACAACATAGAACCTTGTACATTTATGTGTTGGTTCAAAAACTAACTGATGCGTCGTATACTCGTCTTCTGGTTGATGAATGGACATCTTGCCTATATCGTATGAGTTGCAAGTAGGCGAAAATCAACCGAGCTTTCTGAGATCGAGTCCCAAAGTTATGACGTAGGACAAGATGGATGTTTTCAGTTCTTTCTGTTTCGTATTGGTTACTTAACAACTAAGGTTAGCTCGTGACGTAAACTATTACAAAATGTAACGCATCTCTACAACCATTCAGCTAAACAAAAATGATAAGCTTTAGAAGACAATCTTATTTAACTGTTTCTATTCCAGGTACATAGGAAACACTGTAACCAATTTTTTGAAAGACAAATTATTGACATACTTAAAAATAAGAACCATTTGATGAAATGTCACGAGGTCTATAATCACCATGAAAACTTCAGAAGGTTTCGAAATAATTGGTCAAATATTTTAACATTAACTTTAATTGCTATGTGATCTGTATTTACCAAATACATAGAAGTATTAATATGTAGTAGGCTCCAGATGAAATCTACCACACAGAATAATATAATTATTGTAAAGAAATGAACAATAGACAGAATAACTGGGAGAGTAGCAGTTACACAAAGTACTCCTCAAGAAGTCATCATTACCGTTTGTTATATGTTAACTGACTTCAAATCTGTGAAATGAGCATACCAAGCTTAGTCACTATAATGGAAAATACATAATACACATAATATACTCAGTTACTAATTTATCAAATATAAATTTATGTACTCTTCCTTAATTTCAAGTGTTAAGGTTGGCGATGGAGTCAAATTCCCTCATCTTCTATTGTGTACAAAAAAACTAACGAATCAATGGTAGAAAAAAATAAACTTCAATTTGATAAAAACATAAATTAATTCCAACTGACCCGCAATGTTTATACCGTAACGACGTGCTTCACTAGCGAATGGAGAAACGAAATCAGGAGCGAACGCCGCACTCCGAGCTTGCTCTACAAGACGTGTAGCACATTGTTTTAAACTATCAATTGTACAGTTTGTAAGTAACTGGAAAGTAGTAATGGAGAGAAAATACAGTTGGGAAACCTGTTTATTATGTATCTTTTTAAACTCTTACTTTCTATCCGACAAATAAACATAAAATAAATTTCCGAATTTTACATTGACTTCGACATAAAAGATAAATTTAAACATTATTCACATTCAAAGCTACTTAAGATATATATCAACAGTCTAGGGAAGAAGTTTCACTGATATCATAGCAACAACTGATGGACAAAAACCGTTATTGTAAGTCAAGTGAAAAATTTCAATGAAAATCAGGTTCAAAATCTAAACTTAAACAAAATTCTAAAACCAGTTTATGCTATGTAAACTGAATTTTTATGTTGTTGATGAGTATATATGATCCTGGTCTATCGCCACAACAAAGTGAAATAAATACCATACAATGGTGGTAATTGTTCAAGAAAAGCTGAAATAATGGTGGGTCAACTAAAGCAACTCCCTTACGATTAATTTTGTCAAGCCCTTCAATTAACTCATTTAACACACAGTACTCCAAGAACACTGTACGGTTTGGATTCGAGATAATACCTTAGATTTCGTTTATTAATCGCCATGATAACCGTTATTAAATAAATCCCAACGGTGTAAGAATTCAGAAGGAAACAAGAAGTGACGACTACAATTTATTATTGGACAACACAGATAACCAAGTTACAAGTACATCGAGCGAATTGGAGCAGAGAGGCGAGTATGCGCGAGCAAGCGGATACGGAGACAGATTCGGAGTCAAATCGAACCAAGGCGAAGCGAAGCACGGCAAGGCAGTCAGTCAGTCAGTCAGTAACAACGTAGAACTTCGTACGTACGTACATCAGTTCGAGTTGCCACACCACATTAGCACAGAGATGCAGTGGTCGATTCAAATCCCGTAGTGGTAGAGGTAGCAAGAGTATAAGCAGTAATCGGGAAGATTAGGGTTTGGAGATGTTATTTAAAGAGTATAATCCAGTGAAAGAAATTTGGAAAGAGGGAAAAAGGGACATGAAGAATTCAGAAGATTAGAATTTGGGAGAACACAGAGAGTGGATGCACCTGCGCCATTGCGAACGATTTTGAGCCATGTCATTCAGGGTCTCTAACCATCGGTTGCTGTCATCTCGCGGTCCCCAACCAGGTAGTCTACACCTACCAACATGACTCAGTTCATTTGTCAGTGACTTCATGGACTTCTGCCATGTTTTGGTTTGGCCGCCCCTAGCTTTCTTCCAACCTACTCCTATACCACTGAACATCGCACGTCGAGGCAGTCGGTCGTTGGGCATACGTAACACGTGTCCCAGCCATCTCAACTGATGAAGTTTCACTACGTCATCAATTGATTTGCCATCCTTACCTAGTACCCGTTTCCTAACAACTGTGTTACTTACTCGATGGTCCCATGATATACGAGCAATGTTTCGAAGACACCTATGATCGAATACTAGTAACCTACGGATATCCTCTACTCTTATCGGCCATGTTTCACTGCCATAAAGTAGGACGGAACGAACTGCTGCGCAGTAAACCCGTCCTTTGGTTGATAGACGGATATCTCGCCTACGCCATAAATGACGCAAGTTGGCAAAAGCTAGTCGAGCCTTCTGTATCCGTGCTGAGATTTCGTCACACACTAAACCACAAGGGCTGATGAGACTTCCAAGATAAGTGAAGCGGTCGACACACTCAACTACTTCACTCCCTATCACTAGTTCGGGTGTCGATGTAACCCAATCCTGAAGCAACATTTTGCATTTCGAGGGAGAGAATCGCATCCCGAACATGCTTGCATTGTTGCTTAGAGTGGTCAGAAGACTCTGCATTTTGTCAGCGTCTTCACCAAATAAAACTATGTCATCTGCATATTCTAAGTCAACAAGTGAACCTCCTGGTAGAAGTTCAACCCCTGTAAATTTAGATGAGGAGAGTGTTATCTCTAAAAGTATGTCAATGACAAAGTTGAACCAGCCTGGTTTTCTCTAGTCTGCTCTTCACGAGCTTTAGTTAGGCGTCGAAGTATTATTGAAGCTAATATTTTAGACACTATATTAGTCAAACTGATTCCTCTGTGATTGTCACAAGAGGACTTTTGTCCTTTCTTAAAAACTGGCACAATCAGTGATTGAGACCAGTCAGATGGGATTACGTCCAGTTCCCAGATTCTACCTAAGACCTCAGTTAATCTCATTGCTAATACTGGACCACCATCCTTAAAAATCTCAGGAGTAAACCTGTCAGGGCCTGCTGCTCTCCCTCGCTTCAGATTTCCTATGGCTTTTTCAACTTCGTAAAGGGACGGAGGACTTACATTAACTTGCCATTCAGGTTGACTGGAGATCGTGGGAAACCGAAGTGTGGCTGAAGGCCAGTTGAACTGATCCCTAAAGTGTTCTGCCCATCGATCCAATCTCCTGGATTGAGAATGAATAATATGTCCATCTTTCTCTGAGATTGTTTCGCTAACGGTCGGGTTCCTAATTCCGGTTTCCTTAACGAGTCTAAACAATTGTCTGCTATTACCTATTGCCGCTGCCTTTTCCATCTCTCTTGCTTTCGCTACCCACCACTGTTCGCGATCATTGCGTAGACTTCTTGTCAGCTTGCGCTTAAGCTGACTCCGCTCTTCATTATGTTCAGAGCCAGGTGGAATGAGTTTTCGAGCATCTATCAGTGCGATAGATGCTGCTGAGATCCAGTGTTGCTCCCTAATTTTACGGTTTACCTTACTAGCAGATATCACTGCTGTTTCCACAGCTTTTCGGATATCGTTCAATGCTGCCTCGGGGTGGGCATCACATACATGGCTGCCTAACTGTTTTCCTAGTTGTTCCTGAAATATATTCTTAGCTTGACTATCATTAAGTAGGGCCCTAAGAGGTTTCCTTGCAGGATCTTTCCTACGTCCAGTAAGACGCAAGCAAATACGCGCTCGCACTAGAGCATGATCTGAATCTAGGCATGTGCTCCAGAATGAGCGACAGTCTTCTATCGAGCCCCTCCATCGGTGGCTGATAGCGATGTGATCTATTTGGGTCCAACGTTGGGACGAATTAGGGGGTCGCCATGTTAAAAGATGTTTCTCCTTATGCCTAAAGTTAGTATTTGCAAGGAACAGGCGGTTATCTGAGCATAGATGCAACAGACGGTCGCCATTATCTGTTCTTTGAGCCACGACACCATAGGATCCACCTAGGTGTCTTTCCTTATCGCTTAGTTTACCTACTTGAGCATTAAAGTCACCGGCCACTATTACTACATCCGAGCGCTTAGCTTTTCGGAGAAGGTCCGAAAGCTTTCTGTAAAACTCATCTTTTACATCATCTGAGCTGCAGTCAGTGGGAGAATAGGCAGAGACGACGAAGAGGCAACGACGAGTGTCCCTATCTTTCCGGATTCTTACTGTTCCGTTCAGTCGGACAGCGCACAAACGACTGTTTACTGGGATCCACTCTAAGAGAGCTAGTTCTGCCCTAGGACTCAATGCTATACCTACACCGGCGAGGCCACGGGAAGCAGAATCAGGGCTTCCAGATACACGAAGCGTAAATCGAGTCGGTTCTTTATTTTGGCATGGTGAGGTCAAATGAATGACGCTACTTGGATCCTGTATGCGCGTTTCGGAGACGCAGCACACATCGATGGCGCGAGATTCTAAAGTTTTAGCTAAGGAAGCCTGCTGTCCTATTTGGCAAAGTGTTCGTACGTTAAAAGCTCCTACGTGTAGTTTAGAGCGTGGTTTCAGGAGACCAGGAATAACGTTCCACGTTCTCAAATCGTTTGCCCTAGCGGTGCGAGGTGATAAAGAGACGTGAGGAGGGTTAGTCGGGAGGATAAGAGAGGTATTAGGAGGTGTAGGAAGGATTTGAATGTGACCACCTTGGTCTCTTGTGCTGTTACGGGTATGAGGGCTGATGTCACTTCCCGGCTGCCCACACCGTGGAAGGGTATTTCTTGATGAACCTGAAAAGGAAATTGGATTAGTGTTGGTCTTGACGACCTGGGAGCGTGACCGCAGTTCCCAAGGGACAACTGCTTGAGGCCGGTCGCGCACGGCCCTTTTGTGGAAGGTTTTTGACGTGTTAGCTCCGTTCTTCAAGGGGCCTTACCGCCGGAGACGGAAATCCGTGAGGTAAGGTGAGGTGCGCATTTTTAGGGTCGACCTTTTCTAACCCCACCCCTCCTTGTGGGAAGGCAGCATCGCTGTCATGCTGGTTGTCCGAGGGAAACACTTTACTGCTGTCACACCTCTCTACAGTCAGCAGTACGACTTCGCCCTCAGACCTTGAGTTGCTGCTTTTAGTCTTACCGTTCGCCAATCGACCTGCCTGGCATGGTAGAACCTGCAGGAACATATGTTCCAGCCAATATAGCTCGGTTGGGTCATCACGATAGGCAAGCCCGACCACCGCGTCAAGGTAGCAGCTTCGATCGGGGATTGGGCTAATAAGCTTACTCTAATCATGTTGGGTTTAAGAACAACAATTAAACTGGATATTGGATGTTGTTAAGCAAAGTTGGTGTATGGAGGTACGCTACGTTTACTGCATAATAACACTCATTTGTTCGTTAGAAGAGATAACGTACAACCACCTTGGTAGCCGAACTATGATGGTCCATTTAAAGTGATTACGAGGACAGATAAAACAGCTACCACAAAAAAGCTGGAAAGGTAGATGAAATCAGCATAGACCGACAATGAGAACGATAGGGATATACACTTTGGGAACGATTTGGAGTTTCAAATGTACGGCATAGTAACTACCAGGTGAAGTACGTATACATATAAAAAGACCAAAACTACCCAAAATTCCAAATTACAATTTAATATAATAGTCGATAACTACGCACTAATGTAATGTTTTATACTAACTGTTTACTTGTTTCTACAGAATGAAGTTAGCACATGTGAAAATTTAAGAGGACCTATGATAAGATAATCACGTGTGTATATAAAGTGTGAACACAATCAAAGTAGGTTTTGTAAGAAAACAGACCTCATAGTAAGAATCAAGCATTTTATGACTCATAAACGATGGAGAATATAAGTTTAAACACTATTTAGGAACACTCTAGACCATTCTGAAGATATTAGAAACAATATCATCAGAAATCAGCATATCTATAGAAAAAAAAAATTCGTGAGTGAATAACATTGAGTTATCGATAACTATTCATAAAGTTACACTGAATTTCAAAGCCCCAAGCATTAGTTTACTGGTTTACACCTCAACCCTGTTCGATTTATGTAGCCAACAAAATGTTAGATACAAGTACATGTAATTATTTTGTTATTTCAAAAGATAACTCATACTGTCCCCATAATGAAATTCCGATAACATGCGGCTTCTTTTAATGGTTAGATGGGTGGAAAAACCTAACAAGTTGAAGGAAATACTTCACTGAGATAATTTTGAACCTTTTCTAAAGTTCTTATTCTATTCACAACCACTGTTATTCAATATAGAGTGTGGTCAACAATACAATTATACGACGAGCCTTTTTGTCGGAGATTGAATAATTACCTAGTGATTGTGTCACAACGGTTATAGCCAATCATTAGAAACAATATATGGTAGTGTTCACATCAATAAAAAATTGACTAATATCCTAACATTCCCTAAAAATTGTTCACAGTTTTTTATATTAAAAATATTCGATTTCCTTCTAATCAACTATATGAGTTTGGAAACTTCTGACGATTTTCAAACACTTATGTGAAGGCCAAATTTCTCATTTATCTTCAAATGAAGTTGATAAATTTTTCCATACAAATACACACAGCTTACCTCAATGGTTTTTACCTCTTGTAATATCATTGATTCTGTCAAATTATCGAACAAGCCATCTGTGCCTACGATAATTACGTCACCCGGTTTGACTTCTACAGATGTTTGAGCAGCTTGATTAGGTCTATAAAATATTTTAATACATATAATTTACTATAGAAGTACTTAAATTATCAAAAGCATTGACAAATCGGTAATGACGGCATAGTAACTATAAAAAACAAGACAAGAAACAAATTTTGGGTAGAAAACATCACCATGATATTTGGGAATTATAATATCAATGATAATTAAGCACTGAATAGCTTTTTTACATGATTAAAACGATTTTCAGATCAAGCAAATACCGGATATTATTTCTGACCCCGTTAGGAGTTTTGCACTCACAAAGAAATAAGTTCACTTAGTAAAGGATCCCATTTTATTTACAATCACCGGTCTATATTAGTCAATTTGTTCACTATATATTTTCCTCGATAGTCATTTCCGTTTCGATATTATTCTAGCAGTTGGAAATACTTAACATCCAATGGAACCAAATTTATGGTTTAAAAAAGCTGTACAAGACCAAATTATTCTTGAACAATGTAGTACAATTCAGATTAGACTAGACAAATTTATTTCGAAAGGCTCGGTATACTAGCAATGTAACTAAACCAAACTTAAATTGTTTCTTTTTATTTACTATAATTGAAGAGGAAAGCACAACTGTTACACAGATGGAGAAGTTCGATATATAATCGCCATGTAGACATTGGAATCTAACTCAATAACCGGATGAAAAATCATCGATTGCCCACGTAGACTTATGTATTTAATAATCAAGGACGACTTTGAACTATACTGGTTTTTTGGAGGCTAGTGTGCTGCCTAGTTATCTAAAATGAGTACAATAACCAGTAATCCAATATTCCACATGAACAATGAACAATTAACTGACATTCCTTCATTATTATCAATAAATGATATACCAAGAGATTGTCTGAAAAAAACTCATTTCAGCTGATAACGTTAATCAAAATGTGGAACTGTTATAATCTCTTTCTTACGGTTATGACCCAGCTATTCCTATTGCTTAGTATTATCGGATACCGATTCACTCGACAAGTCCCCAAATCAGAACACGGTTGAACAGGAAAGAGATTATATTCCAAATAAAAAGGTTAGATGGAAGCAAGAAGCAAGTCAGAAGCACAAAAGGGAAAACGTCAGTGTATTTATAGTCTTTACATGAGGAGATTCTAGAGTATTCTCCAACTATCAACTAGTGCTGATTGGATAAGGATTAGCCAATCAGCGTCCACCAAAGCAATCGTGCATTGAGCTTGCTTTAATCTAGTCTATGTCCCACTAATAGGAACTATACCTGTCTACCAATCTTTTAAATATAAAACTATGGTATCTTGGTCTGAGTATTTACTCTGAACTATTCCTTCAGTCTTGAACCTACACAGCACATCGACTACGTCACTTTAGATTGCTAGGTATTATCGTCAGTTTAGTTTATGAACTTCTACCCCAAAACTACATTATTTCTTGATTTTAATTACATTGAAAATTATGCAGTACATATTATGTGCTAATTATTTGAATCAGAACTCAAATATTTAAAAATTAAAACAATGTTATTTTAAACCTACAAATCACAATGAAAACGTCTTGAGCGAAGCGTAGGTGGACAAGACAATTGGAATGGTGTATTGAATGAATGCTTTTGGTGGACTGAACGTTGAATCACATGTCCTTCCCGTATAACTAAATAGCCGCTGTCACCTAGACTGGCACCATAAACTCTGTGTTCATTACGTTGCAATGAAACTATGCATAGGGTTGCGCTACCTATAATAATAGTAATAATAATAATAATAATAATAATAATAATAATAATAATAATAATAATAGTATATGCACTCACTAAACTTAGATGTACACGGACATATGATAAACCAATGGTTCACAGGCGTTGATGTATCTTCAATAAACAACTTTTATTAAACTCCATAACGTTTTGAACAAAAGAGCTACATATTTGGTGTTTATGATATCAATACCATATATTGTTCATTTCATAGTCCAATGGTTGAGAGTCGAATGTCAGTATTACTGACTCAGCTCTAAATGTACCTTGGGCCATTAAGAACAGTGATTTTTCGCATGCACCTAGTTCATTGAACTTCACTGAGGAGGAATCGTATTACATTTTATGTGAAAACTGTCATTAATTATTATGCTATTTAAAATAAATTACACCCTAGTTTTGTTTCAAATAAACCTCTTCAGTTTAACTAGAGAATAAAACCTAGAGACAAAATAAGCTTTCGCAAATATGTCCCAAAACAAGAATAAAAATCATTAGCTGACGCTTTGATATCTGTGGTTATAGCATTGTCAAAACTGAGTTTTTTGGAAGTACTCCGAATAGCGAGCATTTAAACAATACATGTCGTACCTCATCACAAGCGTACTCTAAGTTTGTATATGAATACAACTGCTTTAATTGATACCTACTTGCCCCTTTATGGGTGTTGCTCAGTATACAATTAATGATTAGACCAATCGTAGATAACAAAGGATCTGATGGGACTTTTCCGGTTCAAGCTGTCGTATAATATGTCGCAATAATCAGGTCAGTTTACATGATGAAAATTAAAGATGAGTAGGAGTAACAACACCAAATAAAATAGAAACTACACACAAGAAATATAATCTAGCAAGAAAAAGCTAAGCAGTAGGATGAAAAGCATAGAATTAGACTGAAAATTTAGGGGAAGATAATGAATGAATGTATGTACGCTAGTGCGATTGATTTTGAGTCAAGTCATCACAGTAACATACAAAAATCACCATAGACACAGTGAATGTGACAGAAATGGCAGAACAAAAATCCTTTGACGTTAATAAGTACGTTCAGAGCTGCAGAATCGTTTATGTATTTAAAACAAATTCCTTCATTATAAAGGACTAAGCTTATAATCAAACAAACTAAAAATACACTGGATTTATGGTTATACTGCCTGAAAACTGATTTAGACTTTTCAGTTACGAGTTGACATTTTTCCCAGCTACTTTATATTGGGCACTTGCAATTTACTAATAACCACTGAATAATGTAGCATGACTGTCCACATACTGGGTGGATTAAAATAGTTGTCATAAACTCACGCTAAACAATCAGCCTACTAACATTCTGATTTGTTTAGGTAGGTCGTTTTTGGTTGGTTGTTGATCCAAAGCGACCTAAAGATACAAATAAAGAAGAAAGCTCGTAGTTAACAACAACACAGTTCTACTCAATGTCCACTGCGGAAATGGTTTTTTTAACTTTTTTGGTTACAACAAAAACTTGGAACTACAGCAAACTGTTTTTACTGATGGAAAATATCAGACCATACAGAAGAAGATAAGTGGCTTACGGTTAGGATAAAACCTTATCTTAAACTTAAATCTACGAAATTGAGTTAACCAAGAGTCATTCGTTCACTTTTTTCAAAATTATTTGTACTTCCCATAGTAACACAACGATAAGAGATAGCTAAGTAACTTTCTAATTCTGCTAGGTTCTTAGAAAGAGACTGAACATGCTGTCAAATAACAATGAAACATAAGGGACAGACAATTATAAACGACTTATCATACCCAAAATAAGTTCTTTGGAATTCAGTACATCTTCATAGCATTGAGCAATTAAAACCTCTAGCTTGTCGGGAATAAAACGACCGGAATTTACAACACGCTCACAATTCTTCATAACTGCTCTAGAGAAACGACCAGGATCGACTCCGTATGACCGCCAACCACCAACACCATCAGCGACACCTAGTAAACATAAAACATAACATTTCGTATGGAATAAAAACGATAGAGGATTTGAAAGTAGACTGGTAGAACAGTTTTATGGTTAGTATCCGAAATATACTATAAAACTTGCTCTACAAAAAATCTATGCCAAATATAATAGATGCACTCGAAAACTAGGCTTGTAATTTAATTTGCTGCTAACAAGCTATAATCCGATACATTTTGATGCTTATTTTACTAAGGGTTAAAATAAAAGGTAGGGGATCAATGGAATTAAAAGTACAGGGAAAACTAAGACTTTAGACCAATCAAAGAAATGCAGGAGCATTAATTATCTAAACATCCTCACACAGCTATAAATTGGCACGGGCCAAAGCTAAAAGTAGTGATGGGGTACAACAAACGGAGACCCAGAATCTGTAAAAGTGAACAATACACATCCCCGTTTCACCTACAAACAACGAAGCCTAGGTAACTTGAGCTGCATCAATTCTTACATTTGTTTATTTGAATACCAAGTAGTTACAATTTAAAAATATAATTATACACGAGTATTAAATGACCTTTAATAAAGCATCATAATACAGTCCAGACGTGACACGACATACTATTCAGTCTCTCTTCAGCATGAAACATTCGGAAACCCCAAATATTTACTTAATGTCTATTAAACACTTTACATGTTTACAAAACATGTTACAATATTTAAAGTAACTTTTGGTTACATTTTACGTTTACCTTAGGTGGCGGTACGTCTTACGATGAAAATCTAGCAACCTAAACTAACGCGAGTAAACTTTTCAACTCTAATCAGAGCTTTGAAGGAGCTTTATGATCGGAACATATGTGGAATGATTATGTAGAAAGCGAAGCGATACCTAGCTATTAAGGAGACCTGTCAATCATCTACGTATACTTTTCGAATTAATTAAGATACATTAGGGTTTGTAAATGGTTGATGAAAGAACTCTGAGACACGAAAAACTATGTGCAAACGCCACAATATCCGGTTAATTTGTTTGTTTGAATGACATGACTTACCTAAGACGTACGAAGAATCTGTTACTGATAAGAAGCAAGCATCATCCCCGTAAACCCATTTCGGCGAAATCCTCGTTGAATATTTAGTGTGCTTATTGTCATAACCAGCAACTGCAGTAAGAAGACACAACCTTACTCTCCTTAAAAATACCTCGGAGTTATTATTACTTCCCCGAACTTTTGACACAGGAAGAAATAGGGAACGAATTTGAGACATTAAACTGCTCATGACTGTGTATCCATAAAATTGACTAGATTGTATCATAAGTCGTTTTTTGCTTAGATAAAAACAAGACTAAACAGACAATAGTGATGAGTCCTTGCAACAAGTTATTCATTTGCAGTGTGAAGGTCGATCCCAAACCATAATTAACAACTAGTGAGCTTAAACGTAGCTGAAGGTCAAGTACTCCATCAAAAATGATTATGTGTGGAATGTCTGAACCCCTTTTCAGTTGCCAAAACTCAAGTTTCAGGAGCAATTTATCGATGATATTTCCAGGTGGAGGCCCAATAAATACTGAAGTGAAGTTTGGAAGTCAGTTAAAAACAAAGTTTTGAATACTTGTTGATAAAAGTAAAACGCATCAGTTGCTATCAAAACACAAGTGATAATTGTAGGCATCGTTAATCAAAAGATGAATCAGACTACCTGTTAATCCATTAGGGATATCTCGAAAGTCCATATGAAAACCCCATAAATTGTTTTAAAAATAAAACGTATTGGAGTAAACAATCGCTTTCAGTGTTCTTTACTCCTGGCATTGAGTTTATAAATCGAAAATTATTGTCTATGAACTTAGCTTAGGCTTTGTGAGGCATAATTAGAGTTCTATGTATTTCTTGGGACTTCTTTGTGTATTCTTGGTTCAGATTCACATTCTGACTCATGCAGTGAGGACAAAAAGCTATCTAAAACGTCTAGGTCGCTCTGGAGTGCACATACCTCCGCATCCTTTATTAACTCTCGTTGAGTAATGACATGATCTGCATAAATTATCAGCGGAGACTGTAGTAGCTTTGCTTCGATAATCAACCACGATAACCGCTGTTATATACATTCCAACGATATTTTAAATAAAAAGTGGGAACTACAAGTAATTTACCTAAAGCACAAACTACAAAGTTATAAACACAACGAGCGGATTTGAAGCATAGCGGAGAATATGTGTATACGAGCAAATACAGAGGCAAATTTTTAGCCAAATCGCGTACACATATATATGGGGAAGAGAATGATTCACAGAGCGATGTTTAAACTATCAGCATTTTTGCTAGAATCTGTTATGTGATCAAGCGTACACGTTTATGGTAGTTATCATAATAGTACAAAAAATATTCGATGGACAGGTGGTCACCAGAATTAGAACCCAACAAGAGTGTGGTGATGCAATTAAATAACTATGATGAACCGTATCACTATACAATATGTGGACACGTGCTACTCAAACAGAATATAAAGATTCAGGAGTCATATTAAGCAGCGATTTCAAAACCACTAGTCACTGTAAGGTTGCTGCTGCGAAAATCTACAAGGTATTATGGTCTATTCGTTGGTCTTTCCAGTATTTAGATGACGACCACAAGATAGACAGATATCATCATCCATTGCGAAACATTTGATTGAGACGGGTCATAAGGTTGATATCAAATCAGCATTTGTTGTGTTGTACAAAAGCCTTCAAGGACGTATACTAAGGTTTATTGAAGCCTTGGCTATACGAAAATTGAAACCCCCTTTATGTGTTCAAAAACAATTTGTTCTTACACTTAACCTACCCTGGTAGTACTGATTTACTATCCAGAGTGGTAATCACATTTGTTTTTGTGTACTTTAATATTTTTTCCTTTGTTATGACTTACTCTTAACCTGTCTAGTTGACCTTTTAATTTTTCCTATATAAATGTTCTTAACAAGTATATGTGTGATCAGATTGTTCGAAATGTATTGCGCAAATATATCACATAATTCTGATAAACTTCGTCTTCTCATTGCATTATCGAAATTTATCAAAGGGACTAATTGTTTTGAATTATTATACCCGACTTTCATGCAACCACATTTAGAATACGGGACTCAAGCAACGAGTCCGTGTTTCAAGTATGGAGCAGGTAGGCTGGAAAGAGTCCAACGACGAGGGACTAAGATGGTTAAAGGTCTATCTGGCCTATCTTATGAAGACAGACTGAAACACTTTAACTTATTCCCGCTATCTTACAGTAGAATATGGGGTGATCTAATATTGGCTTATCATATACTAAACGGTGAACTTGGTATTAACATGTCTTTTACTTTCGTCTAGAACTGATAATTTGAGAGGACATTTGAAGAAAGTTCAAAAGCCGAGATCAAGTCGTTTAAGTCTGGAGTTTTGTTTCTCGCACCGAGTAATGAATTACTGAAATGCCCTACCGGAACACGTAATATCAGCACCTTCTGTTGATATATTCAAAACGAGATTAGACCTCCACATTATTACAAACTGCAAGTATTAATATAGGTTGATAGACTTACTAGCCTTATTACTGATGAGTGTAGTCTGACATTCCTCGCTAAACACAATCGTCACGTAATTTCGCGTCATTATTTCTGGTAACGTGCCCCATCGTGGCAGTCAGAGGTAGTTGCAACAACACTTTAAAGATAGATTAAAGCCTATTGATCGAGTAGTATATTTATTACAAAGATGAAGGCTGCAGTAACCATGCCTACTTGGCTGAGGCATGTATTTTCAACAATGTACCTGCATCAGCACTTTAAACTTCACTATTTTCCATGGATCTCTCGATGCTCACTGCTCTGTTGTTTAACGCAGAAACAGTTCAGCTCGATGGATGGTTGGTGTTGAGGATTAAGTATTATTCTAGAATCACGACAATGCCACATGAGATATTAATTTTTTGTCTCATCTCTTGAGACAACTTGTAGGCAAGACAAGGTTTTCCTTAAAATTAATATGTTAGCACAAACATCGACCCAAGCAAATGAAGAATTATAAATGAATAAGCTAATTTATCTGTTTGTGCCACGACGATTTCAGATTGTTATGTAATGATTATGCCAAGATATGGATAGCGATTAAAAGTAGGGGTGATAGCTTAGAGCTTCAAAATGACTTGGAGAAATTATCTGAATGGTCTTAAACTTGACAGTTGCCGATAAATACCTCCAAGTGCATTGTGATGCATATTGGTAACTGAGGTACGGGTACATACATGATGAATAACATTGAGCTACCTGTTGTCCACACACACAATCACTTAGGAATCATCGTTAGCCAAGCATTAAAACTACTGTATACTTCCATGCAATAGCCGCCAAAGGTTTTAGAACCCTATGTTATTCCTTTTCTAGTATGCTTCTGTGAGTCTCTAGTCTTCTCTTGAAAGAGTCAATTGAAGATGCGGACACCACTGCTTTGACAGTAGGCTCCAAGTATTGATGACTCGGTGTGAAAACCTGTATTTTGTTCATTCTTGATTTTTCTACTCGCCTGCTATGTCCTCTGAGGTTTCCCGATCTAGTGCGAAGAAAGAGAGAGAATAAGTTAGGTCCGAAATCATTTCCCAGTATTCTGTACATCAGAATTAGATCTCCCTTAGTCTGCGATAGGAAAGAGTAAAGAGGTCCAGTTTTTCAAGCCGCTCTTTGTATGATAAACCCCGGAGTTCTGGAATTGCACGGGTAGCTGCCCTCTGTACTTTTTCTAGTATGTCGGACTCACGTTTTAAACAGGGGCTTGCAGCCTGAACGCAGTTCTCTAGCTTAGTTCTCACTAAGGATGAGTGTACTGTGGTGAACGTGGTGGTATATGCACTCACTGTTTTGTCTTTCAAATCAGAGAATTTACTAGGACAAATTACTTGTCGGTTGACTATGTACTTTCAATCAACTTATCAACGAGTGAGATTCATTACCTCAACACTTGTTTGAAGATCAATCTGTTCACACTTTCAAAAGAAATTTGGATCAAATTGGAGCTCTCAAATAATGATCTAGACCACCACGACTAACAGAGACCGCTCAACTTCCTGTCTCTTCCGAACTGAATCTGAAACTGAAACCAATATCTGCAGTGTTTTTCAACTAATGGAAATCAGTTTGCTCTTCATAATTGCCAGTGGAGACTTCAGATTTGAGTAGAACCTAAGTGATGCGTTGTGACAGGATGGCATAAAAATGACGAATCGTTTTCTCAGACAGTACCTTGTTCTCTTGTTGACAAAATGAAATATCTCAACCCATTTCAAGTTAAGCGTATCAACAGTAATGATTTCACTTATGTCTTTCTTCATGTAACGGCCTCCAAAAAGACCAACATTTTGTTTGAAGGTCAAAGGTGCCGAGCGTGTAGTGAGTTGTGAAGTTGTAGTGGTCGTAATTTGGTTTTATTTTTTTTGCAGTGGGTTGACAATTATACTGTCAATAAAAAGCATCATGGACTGTTTTTCTGTTCAAATATTGGTTGATCTTAGATTTTGCCAGAAACGTTTCTTATGGGACTAAATTTAATTATGTATCCGGGTACAAACTAATAATTTCACGGGGCTGCAGTAAAGCAATCTTGAAAAAATTTTTCTAGACACCATACTGCGTATTTTCCTCCACAGTGTTGTCACAAATGGGACGAATTACAACTTAGACATAAGTAAATACTCAGATAATCCTGAAAAAAATTGTTGACAAGCATAACAGCCTCCAGTCACTCATGTAGAACACTAAATATGTCATATATCAGTTCAGGTTGCAACACCACTTTACCACTTATTTTTTTAAAGACAAATCCCATAGTAATATTAACTATCGGTAGTAGTAGAGGTTAGGTATAAGTATTATTACATGACAATCCTGAAAATCATGTACGCCTATGCAAAAACCCAATATCATGCTGTCACTAAGGTCTGTATTATTAATTATAGTTAGATTTTAAGTGGGAGCAAGCTATTCAGATTTTATGGAAGTTAAGAACCAAATTGCAGGTCAGATTGTGCATTCGTAACTTACTCTTATTTTTGAAAGTGGATATATACTTTTATCTGTTATCCTATAGGATTACAAAAAGTATCCTTACATGTGTATGGAGCTAGTGACATTTGTAGGTTAATGTGGCTTCTGTGTACCGGTAACTGTAGAGCTCTTCTGATTTTTGTAAAAATTGTGAACATTTGAACTTTTAAAAGTGTTGGGAATTATCTCGCGTATTGATTTGACATCTTACTCTGTAAGTCAATTATAAATTAACGACTGTAAATTGCCGACTTCCTCATAGCGAATTGTTTCTTTCATGTTTGGATACTATGATTTTAAGACCTTGAGATTTAGGACCTATTATTATTTTAGTG